AACCTTTTAGTTTATATACATAATTCTAGTTATGGCCTTTTATTTCTGACCTATAATTGTGGCTGATTAAACACTGCAAGGTATGGTAATGTAAAACCTTTAACACAATTATTTTATTGGAATTGTGAACTGTAGAGACCCATTAGGGCTGTTGAATGCTCTGATAACAAAGCTTGTTTTGTAATAGTGTAAAACAAGGAAATAACTGGAAAAAAACTGTTTTGACTAAGCCTTAAAAACATCAATGACTTTGCTTTAAAGATTAAAAAAAAAAAAAAAAAAAATAGAACTGAAAGTAAGGGAAACCAAACATATTTTGCTAGGAGTTTTTCCTCAGGGATTGCACATGACAAGGCCCCAGGGAGAAGTCTTTGCATGTACATAAAATAAAATTGTTTTCCTGCAGGCAACCTTGTGATTTCCACAGTTCCAGAAGGATCAGCGTGGTAAATGAGATTTCTCTAGAAACATATTTCTTATTAATTTTTTTCTTATGTTCGCTGCAGTTATTTGCTGTTTTATCATCAGAAGTTTTCTGTGCCTTTTTAGCAAAACTGCTTATTTTTAGCAGTGATCAGTAGATTTGGCTACTCTCCCAAACCTCTGGATTTTGTATTGATAGAAGTGGGTTAGTGGTGGTTATGGATGATGGCTTACAGATGGTGAGGGGTAATCCCCTTTTACAGATGAGTCTGAAGCTTCTCATTTGTCATGGTATAGCTAGTAGTAGTTGGTCACACTCAGCCGGACCATGTGAATGTGGCTAATGATATTTCCCCAGTGCCCCCAACAGTAAACTTAAAAAATAAGTTGTTTTTTTTTAAAGAAAAAAAATACAAATAATAAAATACTTTGAAAAGTTAAAAAAAAAGAGTGGAAGGAGAGGAGGAGTACATTGAGTGTAATAGTCGGTGCTGTTTTTGGCACCTAAGATTGTAAATGTGATTTTATCTTATCAATATTTACATAATAAAAAAATTTAATTTACACTATAAAAATATTTAAAGTTAAAAAGGTTACAAAAATAATTTTCCATTTTGGCCTGATTTTTCTATTTCAAATTTTTTTTATTTTGGTGCACCTCTATCTGTAATACTGTAGAGTGGTCCCCAAGACAGACTAAGAGTGGGAAGATTCCCACTGGGGTTATCAGTAGGGTTCTTAGGCTGCACTGATTATCTGCACTAGTGGTTATGGACCTCACTCTGCTCTGTGGCAGGGGCTGTCCGAATCACAAGAGTGACTAAACAGACATTTTGTACATTGCACTTTCCATGGAGTTTCACAGCAAGAGCTCAAAATAGGTTTGAATTGCTTACTCCTTGTTATCTAGTTCTTTAATTTGGTTATTTGAGTTATGCTTCTGCAGTTTCTGTAGCTGGCCTCTTTTCCTCTTTCCTTGGACATTGCTTTGTTTACTGGAGTTTGTGTGGCTCTACATACGCAGAGCGTACGCTGAAGTTGCTCTTTTTGGCTGACTCCCTCTGACAAGGTGTTCTGTCCCCTAAACAAACTCATATGTTTAGCTGAAATACTGCAGAAAGAATCCCAAAGAGCCACCATATAAGGTGAAATATATTTTTGACATATAGCTCTTATGGACTGTATAATGAGAGTAAATCGGTTGGATGATGGAGTATCCAGGTGGTCAATTTAATAAAAGTGTACAATGCACATCTATACCAAAAGACATTGAGGGGAATTTATCAAAACTGGAGCAGCTGTGCATGGCAACCAATCAGCTTCTCTCTTTCATTGTTAAATCTTAACTGACCAAACTGAAGAGAGAAGCTGATTGGTTACCATGCACAACTGCTCCAGTTTTGATAAATTCCCCCCATTGTCTTCATGGGCACGGTGAGTGTCTCTTTAGGTGACAGGTTATGCTCTGTACAGTCTGCAGTATTTGTGGAGGTACAAGTGTTTGGACTGTAAGAGTACCTGGTGATAGAGCCTGTTGTGAGGGTTTTATTAGTCCTCCACTCATACCACAGCTATCTAGCAATCTCAAGACTACACTTTTAAAACTTGAGTGTGGAAATCAGACTTTTGAAGGTAAAGTAGGTTCTTGCATAGTCTTGGGACACCACAACATTTTCCTTCCCTTCCTGATTGTCTGGAATTGTTTTGTTTTCTGTTGGTTGGTTTCTGAGGTTAGTGTGTATTGCATGGACAAGTGATGACTTCTGGGTGGAGCAATTCCACATTGTGGGTACATGCATGCAAACTAAAATCCAAGGAGCAATTTTGTTGCATAGCCACACAATTATAAACAGTCTTGGATTTTTCTGAAGCGCTTGTTGACCATTTTTGTGATTTAGTTATAGACGCCTTATGTCACTTGTTTTGAAAAAGTAATCTTAACTCACCTGTGCCTTTTTTAATCATGTTTATCCATTCCCATTAATAGGGTTTTAGGGCTTGTTCACACCATTCCTGGACCAGAACAGGGTTTGTCCGCACCTGAAAAGCATCCCAATGTATTTATATGGTATTACTGGGCTCTGTTCACACCAGTGCAGTCCCTTTCCCTTCCGGTGCGGGGAAATAAATGCTGTATGCACTATTTTGTCTGATCTGTAACGCACCGAAACGCATGTAAATACATAAACGCATGCAAGCGCACTGGACTGCACCCGAAAGCTCATGTTAAGTGAAAAACGCACTGCACCGCGTCTACAGATCTGTTCCAGATCTGGTCCGGACATGATGGGAACAAGCCCTTAGGGCCCCACATTATATGTGTTAGTATGGTGGTGTGTGCTTTAATCTATGCTGCAATACCATTTTATGATGCATTGCAGTTTTGTGTTTAGTACATTATTATGATGTGCTGCAGCATGTTGTGAGGCCTTAAAATGCTTCTGAGGATGCTATACTGCATAAAAGTGCCACATGTTCTAATTTTATTTATTTTTTCGCAAACCCCCAATATAGCGCGTTGTTGTGAACTGAAGCCATAGGACAATAGACCATTTACCTTTGTTCTTGCCGTGGCACTGTGCTCGGCAATGCAGCCCAACACTGCAGCTGTGACTAAACCATACATGCGATGTTTTCCCTCATTTACCCTTTATATCTGTTTCTATAGAAGAGAAATGATATTCAGCCAATTTTCAATTATTACTTTATGGACTGTCAACAGCAATTCCAAAAGCTCTTTTTGACCCTTTGATGTCAAATCAATAAGCTGTACCCAGACTCTTAAATAATATTTGGCTGGCACCTATTTGTACATGTTTTCATTCCAGCTTTTCACCCCTGACGGCCTGTGTATAAATATGATGGATGCTGTGTAGCTGGGAGGAGATGGCAGCTACGAGTGTTACTGTTGCTGATGGCCTGTAGATTGTGAAATATTCTCCTGCTGTGAAGAGGTCTTCTGTGGGGCGGAATGCCATACCTCATAGCTTTGTACCTGTAATCTGGAACTGCAGGACATAAGCAAAGCTAGACAAGTCCACAGTGCATATAGCTCTGTGTTTCAGAGTTCGGTTATTGACATTTTTATTTGCATGCTTCCTTATTTACAGGCAGCTGAAAGATTGCCTGGGTGTATGCCTGTTTACACACAAGTTCATTTCTCTTTACCTGCTTAGAATGAGAGATTGACCTGATCGTTATTTAGATGCGATTTGCAAGAAGTATGACACATTTGCGCATTGCACTTGACTTTCAGATTATATGTGAATCCACAATTGAGAGGTAACCAGTGCCAGTACGCGCGGTCAAATAGTCCAGTTTAATGGAACTTGTTTTCTGTTCTTGTATTTGTAAGGAGAGATCAATCTGCATTAAAATTGTCTTGCCTCCATAACTGTTACAGGAAAACAGAAATTTGAATGTTTTATATTCACAAGTGTTGATAAGTAATGGGTTTTTTCACACATTTCTACAAATGGCATTTGTTTGCATGCATATAATCAAGGAAGGTTCCACAAACATGAACATTCAGTAGCGAGTTTATAAAAATGAATCGACAAAAAGGGTAGAGTGTCATTTCTTTTTTTTGTGGTGTGGTTTTTCAGTTTTTTTTTTTTTTCTTGATCAATAGGGAAACGTTATAAGCCCAGTCAGGTTTTACTGCTATTCAGGACTCTGTTGGAGAGAGTCCCCCTCTCTTTCTTTTCTGGGGCAACCTTTTTGCTAGGCAGGTAGTGAGAGAAAATATACACCAGGGAAACTGATAACAAAAGTTAGCAGAAGTTAGCGTTCTCCCTACTTAAACTAAAAAAAACAAAACACAAAAAACTTTGTACTGCTGTTGGACAACATTTGTACCAGACAGGAAGTAAAGGTATCTCTCCATGGGAGCTCCAGGTCAACCTGACTGGAGTTCAACTCCTTTCCACACAAAATAAAATATTTGGCTTTAGATACTCTCAATAATGATAGGTGTAAGCACTGCTGATATATACATGGCATAATATTTGTATACACATTAACAAATTGAGCCTTAAGCAAAAGAACCTTAATGTAAGATAAAAAAAATTCAGTGCAATCATACGGCAATCTCTTTAGCTTATTGAGATCAAAAGGGCCACATGGAAAATTTGTCCTGTTAGCTGCACTTACAATTCTGGTATTTAAGAAGCTGTGCTCATACAGCAGCTTAAATACAATAGCCAGGAAGGGAGATCTGAGAACTGAGCCATTTTTCTCCTGTTTAGCCCATATGAACCATTGTATTAATGGACTGTAGGGGACCAAATTTCAAATATGTAATAAAGACTAGAAGTAACAAGCTAAATGGTTCTTGTAATATGTGACTGAGTTTAAAAGTACAGTTTGGTGTTGCCTGCATCGCATGCGCCAATAGTGTAAGGGGCATCTGATTTCATAAGAACGTCTTATTTCACATTGTCTTCTAGTAATATGTCATCCGGTCAACTCGATCTACATTTTTTACAAGTAGGATATTTCTGAAACATGACATGCCTGATGTGATTCATTAAAAAAAAAAGTTTGTCTCAAAGTTTTTTTTTTTGTTTTTTTTATAGGCAGTTCAACCTTCGGATGAAGAGGGATGAGTCTCTTTTTTCTCCTGACTTCAAGCTAGAAATGGGAAGAGAAACTGAAGATTATGACACTTCTCATATATACAGTGGGCAGGTCTTTGGTAAGTTGGATGTTGTATTTATGCCTTTTTTAAGCTGCAGATGCACTCATATTTTTGTATTAGCAGTGTGACTAGCTGAGTTTTTATGTTGCCTTTATTTACTTAAGGTTTCCCCTGTCTTCTGATTTCCTGCCAACAATAGAAACTCGAGGTAGTAGGTCAGGGGTCGAGCACCACGGGAGCATAGCCGCAGCCAGCTCCTTTTGCGCCTGAGGCAAAAAAAAAAACTTTACTAAACGTTTACTATTTTTTATTTTCATAAATAAATGTTTTGTTTTTTTTTCGTAATTTTTTTTTTTTTCATGAAGCGGCGGGAGGAGAGGACAGTGCGATCTACCAGTGATCGCTACGCGATCGACTGGTAGATCGCGATCGACCTTGTGGGCACCCCTGTAGTAGGTTAATGGACTTCAACCTTAATAAATACTAATGATTGTGTGTGGTCACAATTGTTACAGGAACCTAAATGATAGCATTCTTTAGGCTCTCTGTATAGAGCAGTGGAACATGTAAGTGCTATGAAATGAATTTCATTTATTAGAAAACTGACATTTACTGTGTACCAAAAGGAATACAGAGAGTTAGAGCTGGTTCACAGTTTCCTGGCACGTCTCCATTTTTGGAAATCTTTATTGTGACGTGTACATATACCACATGACGTGTAGGTGTGAATGTCGCATAAAGGGGTTATTCCCCCTCTGATACTTCTGTGTCAGCAGCCTCTTTAGTGTCCCTCCCCTTTATTTTAATTAGTTAAACTTGTGATTCTGGCTGGGTATATCAGAATTGACAACACTCATTAAGCTTGCCATAGACGGCATAAGGCCGTCTGATTTGCAGGTGATCTGAACACTGTATAAATCCATGTCCAGTAAAGACTCCTTGGAAGCTGTTCAGAACTGTAATTCATGGTAGGGTAGGCACGCTGTGGAGACCTTCTGTGCTGGTTTATGGGAGGAAACCAGTAGTGATCAGACAATGTTTTCTAACATGTCTAATCACCATTTCCCTAAATGACCCATAACTATCAGGTAGCTCATAGAAATGAGATCATATTTAGATCCATCACATCTGGAGACCAGCTGCACAGATGTGCATGTGCAGCTGGCTGTCCTTTAAAGTATGTGGGCATAATTTAATTCTAGCTATGACTGCATCCAGCATTTGTTTATAGGTTGGACTTGATGGACTAATGTCTTTATTCAACCTCAAATACTATGTAACTATGTAACTATGTATCACATATGATTTACATGTTGTGTGTCGGCATTCAAAAGCAGCGACTGTCATCTGGTCATTTAATTTAAATGAGTGACAGTTGCTGCTTGTAAACGGCAGATTAGGGATTCCTTCTGCAGGAAATAGCAAAGTCCTTGACACAGGAATCCCTTATCGCACCTAAAATATAGGTATGAATTCGGCCTTACACAGGAGCCTGAAGGCACAGTAGTGCCTAAGCACAGGAAATGCACTGCTGGTTTTCAGGAGTAATTTAGTTGTAAGGGTGCTGCTTAAGCACAGTGAAGCCTGATGCCTCAGGACACAATAATCCTACTGGAATACAGTAAGATAATACTATGCATTTCTAAAAAACCCACCAAGCATATTCAGTACTGGCTTCTTATTGCCACAAATCATCAGTTCTGCATGCAACCAAAAGGGAGCCAATAAGTTATTTGTTGGGGTTTACATACCCCTTAACTCCCCATTTTCGGCACATTTCGGGAGTTTAAATTAGTGTTGATAGTTTCGACCTATTTGTTTTTTTTTAAAAAGCAATGTCAAACGTTTGCTAAGCAGGTTCTCACCAACTTCAGTGGAGTAGTGTAGGTGACCATTCGGAGGCCAGGTTTGACCTGCTATGCATTGCATTCCCTAGGATGCAGCAAGTCTCGAGATGCGTTTGTGTTACAGGCAAAATGGTTCAAACGCATTTTGCATTCAAGCACATGCATGTAAGCATTGATGTGTTAAAATAGAAAAGTCTGAGTTTGACATGAATGTTCATATACATGAGCCCTTAAGGTTACTTCTCTGGCTGTCAGCCTGATGCTTTGCCTTCAAATCTTTCTCAGGCCACTGACCTGGAACAATTTATATAGATAATAAATTCTGGCACGTATTTACAGCGTGCTTGTTCCAGGTCAGTGGCTCAGAAATGCAGAAGTTAGAAGACAACTACCATTCTCAGAAGGAGGCAGCCCACATACTTTCCATTTTGACAGGTGTATTTTATAAAGACTCGGTTCACTTAAGGAAGGGGGTAGAAAGTGGAAGCCCCTAGGGGTTACCGCACATACCTTCAGCAGCAACCCAAGCCTTTGTCAAGTTTCAGCATCTCAGTGGGCTGGCTAATAGAAATGAGAGTGGCCGGGCTTAACTGCAAACTGACACCATGCCGAAGCGCTGGAACGTTGCCAGTCAGAACGGCCCAGCATTCAGGTTTACTAGGTTGATGCAGGTACCTCTTGGTGACTGTAAGGGCTAGTTCACACCAAAATTGCGTATGTCTGCGTAACTGCAATGCAATGGGGTTTGCTGCGACTTTACTGCAATTTTACTGTGATTAATGCAATTTTCTTGCTTAAAATTGGGTTTTAGGTGCGTTCCAGTGCGTTTGCATGTGGTTTTATGCATTCTGTTGCAATCCAATGCAGCTAAAATAGCCCATTGAAGTGAATGGCACCGTATTCACGCCCTCCGGCCGTAATGCGATCGCCTGCAAGGGATCGTAAGGCACATTGTGCCTGCAGTGCAGTCCGGTGTGATCAAAATAGTGCTTGCAACATTTTGATCACACTGCAGGCACAATGTGCCTTGTGATCCCGTGTGGGCGATCGCATTGAGGGCGTTGCTATGGTGCCATTCACTTCAATGGCCCGCCACGACCCCTCCAGCCTGGCAAAAAAGCGAGCCGGCCGAGATGCGAGGCAGTGCGTTCTGGCCAGAATCGGACCGGAACGCACTGCAACTGGTGTGAACTAACCCTAAGAGTTTGCCTCCCTTCAGTGACAGTCTCTCTTTATGTATTTAATAACCTTGCCATAACACCTATACATCCTTTTTGTAATTTAAAAAGAAAAGTGGATTACTTCTGTTTTGTTTTTTTAACAGGAGAACAAGGAACAATGAGTCATGGATCTGTATTGAACGGCAGGTTTGAAGGCTTTATTAAAACGCCTCAAGGCACCTTTTATGTGGAGCCAGCAGAAAGATATTTTAAGGACCGAGCCGTTCCATTTCATTCCGTCATGTATCATGAAGATGATGTCAGTAAGTATTGTTCTTTTTTTTGTTTATATATGACATATGAGGCGATTTAGTGCCCTTTCACGTTGATATTGCACCGTGTGGTATCAGATGACTTCTAACTTTTACAAGGTATTTTCATGTGAACGTTCAGATTTCAGAGCCTCTACCCCCCTCTTCCTTTTTTGCACTACGAACATCTACAGAGGAAAGCTTGTTGGTGACTGGGTTGACTGCCGTTCATGCTAACAATTTCAGTGGCCTGAGGTTCTCAAGCTTTATTTATGCTACATATCTCAAGATGTGAGTGTGAATGTGTGCAATGCCTTTGTGATTTTATGGGGGTTGGCATTTTTTTTGAAAGCTGGCCGTATAATACAAGAATATGGGGAGTAGGAAAAGAAAAATGTGGCATATCAGCAACTTGTGTAGCCAATAACGTTGGTCAGCAGGTTCTCGCTGACAATGGCCCATTTTTTTAAATTTACATTTTGGGTATGTAACTGTATATCGTTGCTGCACAAAGAGAGAATCTCTTCGAAAACTGCAAAATTGGCACCGCTGTTTTCTTGTAGCTCAGTTAAAAAGTTCTGTAATAACTTTTACACAGTCCATTTAAACAGTGTAGTAGCTGTTACATTGTTAATAGTTTAATGCAGGGGCCCACAAACCAGTACTATGTGGCCAGCAGCCAGCTGACAAGTCAGGCACATGGTCACGGACCGCGTACCTGACTTGTGGGAGCTACACCTACACTGCCGACACTCAGATCCTGTCGGCAGGCAGCCGAGTGAATAACTGAGCCAAAGCCTGTTTGGCTATTCAGTTCAGCTGTGTATGGCTATTTGCAGCCGTACATTTGCAGCCTTCGGCTCCCTTCACTTTCATTCGGTTCAGCCTAACAGCTGCAGCACGTTTGGCTGAACCAAAGGGAAGAACCTGTTCGCCTCAGCCTATCCAACATCTGAATTTGCTGAGGCAAACGTTTGGCAGAGAGACCATTTTCACACACAAACTTGGTGATATGGCAGCCTTGGATTACGTACTCCAAACCAAACAATTTTCAGTTTTCCCTTTTTGTCCATCTGACATGTGGACATCTTCAAGCTCTCCTCTCGACTTTTTGCTCTTTCCTTTTCCTCCTTTCTCTTTTCTCCTGCTGACCCATCCTCCTGACCCTTTCCTTGTTACATTCCCTCTTACCTCCCCCTCTTTCCCTTACGGGCCCCAGTTTATACATCCTAGAGCATATGTGTCAAACCCAAGGCCCGCCGTCCAGGACCGGCCCGTGATGGAATTATCTTTGGCCCGCATGATATTTAATTATCATTCGATCTGGCCCGCCGGTATATTGCCCACACTACCGAAAACTTTGTAATTATAATGTGTGATATACTGTACAGGCCACGGTATTATACTGTGTGATATACTGTATAGGCCGCTGTATTATACTGTGTAATATACCGTGTGATATACTGTATATGCCTCCGTATTATACCGTGTGATATACTGTATAGGCCTCCGTATTAGAATGTGTAATATACCGTATAGGCTGCCGTATTATACCGTGTGATATACTGTATATGCCACTGTATTATACTGTGTGATATACTGTATAGGCTGCCAAATTATACCGTGTGATATACTGTATAGGCCGCCATATTATACCGTGTGATATACTGTATATGCCACTGTATTATACTGTGTGATATACTGTATAGGCCGCCGTATTATGTGTAATATACTGTATAGGCCGCTGTATTATACTGTGTGATATACTGTATAGGCCGCCGTATTATAATGTGTAATATACTGTATAGGCCGCTGTATTATACCGTGTGATATACTGTATATGCCACTGTATTATACTGTGTGATATACTGTATAGGCCGCCATATTATACCGTGTGATATACTGTATAGGCCGCCATATTATACCGTGTGATATACTGTATAGGCCGCCATATTATACTGTGTGATATACTGTATATACCGCTGTATTATACTGTGCGATACACTGTATATGCCGACGTATTATACTGTGTGATATACCGTATAGGCCGCCATATTATACTGTGTGATATACTGTATATACCGCTGTATTATACTGTGCGATACACTGTATATGCCGACGTATTATACTGTGTGATATACCGTATAGGCCGCCATATTATACTGTGTGATATACTGTATATGCCGCTGTATTGTTTTGAACCAGCCCGACCTTCGACTTGGAGCATTTTTTAAATTTTGGCCCGCTGTGTATTTGAGTTTGACACCCCTGTCCTAGAGTCCATCTCTTTTGAGGGTCTGTCCATACCAATGACTTTTTGCAGGGCCTTAGCCCTTCCCATGTATACAGGGTATAAAGTGTGTTTTGTTTGATTAGAGTTGTGCACAGTGAGGAGAATATATCAAAACTGGAGCAGACAAAATCTGGAGCAGCTGTTCAGCTGTGCATGGCAACCAATCGGCTTCTCTTTCTTTTCAAATCTTAACTGAACAAAATGGAGAGACACTGATTGGTTGTCTTGGACAAATGTCCAGAGTTTGTCTGCTCCAGTTTTGATAAATTCCCCTCAATGTATTGCTGTTGGCAAATTGCCATAGCTGTTTGCTTTATTGAATCTTTTATTTAAAAAGAAGAAACACAAAAAAACCTTTGTGAAAGGGAAAGAAACCTGTGATTTCAGTGCCTCTGTTGTGTACTCTGAAAATGTAATTTTACCACAATGCCTACAGCTTCCGGGTTCATTCACACAGCTGTGAATGGCCTTACACCGTAAAAAAAAAAAAATGTCCGATACTTCTGCACCTGGGAGTGACAGGTGTTGCATACAGCAGTGGGCAGCAGCCTGTACAAATCAATGATAGACTGCAGCTGTATACATATACCCACATATCTGAGCGTTCACATTCATTCAGGGGTGAATGAGCCCAACGATTGACTGTATCAAGCATGTTGATTTGGATGCACATATGAGACTCGGTACCACAACAGCTACAGGTGAAACTCGAATAATTAGAATATCGTGCAAAAGTAATTGCAGTAATTGCTGCAAAAGGGGCCCAAACCAAGTACTGAGTACATATGCATGCTTGTACTTTTCAGAGGTCCGATATTGTTCTATGTACAATCCTTGTTTTATTGATTGCATGTAGTAATCTACTTTTTTTGAGGTTGTGGATTTGGGGTTCTTGGTGTTTTCATGAGCAGTAAGCCATAATCATCACAATTATGACAAATCACGGCTTGAATTATCTTGCTTTGCATGTAATGAGTCTATCTCATATATTAGTTTTACCTTTTTAAGTTGCATTAGTGAAAATAAAGGAACTTTGCACGATATTCTAATTATTTGAGTTTCACCTGTAGAGCTGTTCCTCATCCCTGTTCTAGGCGATAAGGCATTGCAAGATTGACAGCAACAGCATGAGGGGGGGATTGTAGTTTCTGCACTCCAGGATTGCCAAGGTTGCCTACCCCTGGCCTATAAGATATATGATCAATTCACCTGTACATTCTAGCATATGCATGTTTGGTGTTGTGCTAAACATTTGTGTAAACACTTCTCTACTTGCCTCAGTCATAGCCAGGATTATGGAACAAGTATGAAACGTAACTATGCACAGTTCTTCTGTAGGTCACTAACCCCAGCCTGACAGACGTGTAGGGTGGATTCACATACAAGGCATCAGATTCCATTAGACAACTTTGCATAATGGAGGTGTACAACAGGTATTAGCCATATACAACAGGAGTCTATTGAGAGGTTGTTAGGATTCTAAGTACAGTTTATGTATTCCAGCTGCCCTGCTTGAGCTGGGTATTTTAAAGGTGGCCATACACTTTATAACCATCGCAAGACCTTAGTCTTGCGATGGTTGTAAAGTAATTAAAAAAACGTACAATCTGCCCATCTTGGACATGATCGCAAGATCATACTTGCGATCATCGCAAGCCCACCCCGCTGAGGGGTGAGCGTCCGATGACCGCAATGCTGAACGAGCCCGTTCGGCATTTGTCTCCCGAGCATGCCACAAACCAGCCGAAAATCGTAAGATTTGCGGCTGGTTTTCCAACATGCTCCTTAGACAAAAGACGTGCGACTATACAGTAAAAACGGTTGCACGCCTTCCATACACTGCACGATTCTCGTATGATCGCGGGATTTCCCGCGATTCTCGTAAGAGAATCGTGCAGTGTATGGGCACCTTTAGAGGGATGGATAGGTCAGTCCGCACACGCCAGATGTTAACTCTAATCATTTGTTGCAACCCCCATTCTCCTCAGGTCGCGGTTCATCAGACCTCCTTATAGTCATTACAAAAAAAAAAGGAAATTCACTGTGACATGTAGGGTTGGAGCTAACTATTATTTTCATAATCAATTAGTTAGCCGATTTATTAACTTCGATTAATCGGATAAAAAAAAAAAAAGGCTCCAGTGATGGACAACTAGTTTCTATTGAGATTGTAGTCCCTCACAGGAGCAAGCTTGGAGCGGTGGAAGTAAAAAAAAAAAGTAAGGTGTGCAATATAGTACATTATACAGCGGCGCAGTGCAGAATACCAGCAGCTATAGAGGAATGCAGCAATAGTACATTATGCTATAATGTACTATTGCTGGGATTTGTAGTCCTCTGTAGCTGGTGTTGTTCTGCATTTCGCTGTATGCAATGTATTATTGCTGCGATTTGTAGTCCTCTATAGCTGGTGGTATTGTGCAGTGCGCTGTAGAATGATTATACGGCACAATGCAGAATACCAGCAGCTATAGAGGAATACAACAAATGCCAGCAATAGTACAACATTGTACTATTGCTGGGATTTGTAGTCCCCTGTAACTGCTGGAATTCTGCATTGCTTTGTATGTAATGTATTATTGCTGGGATTTGTAGTCCCCTGTAACTGCTGGAATTCTGCATTGCTTTGTATGTAATGTATTATTGCTGGGATTTGTAGTCCCCTGTAACTGCTGGAATTCTGCATTGCTTTGTATGTAATGTATTATTGCTGGGATTT